ATGAATAGTAATTTACTATTTGAACAGTAAATTAATATTTGAACAGTAACCCGAGGCTCAAAAATTCCAGTATGTAAAAGAGGAACCGATTCCTTCCAAGGGGGTACCGATTCCCTCACTGTTCATCAGCCCAACGATCATAATATTTGAATATTATGAAGGGGTATCGATTCCCTATGAAGGGGTACCGATTCCCCCCATTCTGGGCAGTCTATTTTTGCAGAAAAATCATTCCCAAACGGCTCCAAAACATCCCCAACGGCTAGATATGACTTCAAACACATTCCAAGCTATAAATACAAGCTAAGGACACTTGAAAAAAATAAGAGAACAACTATCCAAGCAATCAAACACAAGAGAAGAATTTTTCATTCTTATTTAATCTTTCTCTTGTATATATTTTGTTCTTGTGAGCTCAATCTTGTAAACACCTACCTTAGAGAGGTTTTCTAGTTTACATTTCTTATCCTTTTGTAAAGGGGAAAGGTTCTAGCTTAGACCGTGTAAAAGCTAGGGAAATGTTCTAGTTTAGCCCGGAAAAACTAGGGAGTTTGTAAGGTTACTCTTTATCCTCAAAAGAAAGAACAAATTAGTGAATTTGTTGGAAAATCCTTGGTGAGGAGCTAAGGTAGTGGACGTAGAATTTGATTGAGAAAGTCGAACCACTATAAATCGCTGTCCAATTCTCTATCTTTCAATCTCCTTACTCCCTAAACACAAAACCGTTCCGACCCCTCTTTGCAAATCGTTCCGGTTGTCGTTTCGAGCTTCCGAAAATCCTAACAATGTGCTTGTATTGACTCAGAAAGGCACTAGCCAAATCTTTCCAAGAGCGTATTTGAGTACGACTCAGTTGATTGTACCACATTGAAACGGGTCCAATTAAACTGGCTAGAAAGCAGTGAATCAACATCTGATCATTGTTTGTGTACCTAATCATTCTTCGAATAAACATCGTGAGATGGGCATTAGGGCAACTGGTTCACTGTATTTTTCAAAGTCGAGCATCTTGAATTTGGGCGGAAGCACCAAGTTATGAACTAGTACTAATTCTGTTGCATCCATTCCGTAGTGAGAGCTCTGTCCTCTCATTCCCTGGAATGTCTCTCTACACCACTGTTTCAGATTCTCCGGGATCTCATTGTTGGCTCTCTTCATCTTATCAGAATTTAACATACTATGATTAGTATAGTGATCCCGAGGACCTAGCACAGTTACATGAGTTTTAGTGGCGGAGAAGTGTGCTTGATGGCTAGAAAGCTTATGGGGTGAAATAATTATTTGGGGACTAGCATGGGCTATCACACATTCAGAGTTTCCTCTGGTCGAGGAAATCTTCTCTTTGCCTTTTTCTTGGTTGACCCCAGCCAATTTTGCTACCATTTGATCCATTAGGTCGCTTTGATTTTGCAAGATACGATCCATAGTAGCCTTTTGTGCCTGCTCCATTTTAACTTCCCACTCTGCTTTAATCTTTTGCAAACTCTCTTCCAGCTCTTTCTTCAATTGCTCGAATTTTGTATCCATTCTCAGTACTGTGTGAATGCAGTTGCACAGTTAGAAGTGCTTCCTCAAAGTTTCCCGTAAGGTATGATTAATGCATGTAAAAAATGCTTAAATGAATGTTGTGTAAAATGCAATGATGCAAATGCAGAAATATTGATCGCAACGATGAATATTTTAGAACAATTTTCACTAGAGATAAAAGTTTTCACATTACAAGACAGTCCACTTTACAGACTTGACTTTGCTTATATGTTGAATCTGAAATGGGTCGTTTCTTCGTCTCGGATCTTCGTCCTAAAAAATGATATCCCTCAATGCTCTGTAATAATTGTAGATGAGAATCTACTGTTGGATTACTCTTCGGATCGGATCATTGAAGTCAGTGCACCGCTCCTTGATGACTAGCGATGACATGATTTTAGATAAGACTCCATTGCTAGATTACTCCTCGAATCAATGTATCATTATTTTAGTCTCGGATGTTGTACGATCCTCGAGCAAGTCTTCTTCTTGTACTATGAACTTCTTTCAGCCCTCGATGCATGTCTGTGTATGCGGCTACTTGATTGAAATTTTTTATCTCTCCTTGTGAAAATTTCTCTTGAATATCCCCTTGCGGATCAACATTTTCGTATTATGTTATGTTGATGCAATGCAATGCAAACAAGAATGAAAAATGACACAAACAAAATGAACGAAATAAGTTAGTGTGCCCAAAAAAGAAAAGAAATTAGTTAGTACATGTAAAACAATCGATACAGGTAAAAATGCTATTCAAAGATGAATATAACACCTACCCCGTCATGATATCTACCCGAACATGCTTTCAATAGATAACAATCCTACCTGGACATGCTTTCTACCCACAATGATCTATTTTCAATAAATTGGTCCTAACCGCATGTTATCTAGTTTGCATGCTTTTGTTCGAAAAGGTAAAAGTTTAGAGTCGTTCCTCCTTCGTGTACACCTATTTTGGGTACCTACGGACGGACAGAGGTTCGGTATGACTATACCTAGGGTGACCGTTCTACAGCTCACTATATGCATGGTTTTGGCTCTAACAGGAAAAGGGTACTTGAATTGTCCTTGATGTCGGTGCCCCCTTGGGCTGTCAGACCCTCGATCCTCACCCATTACAGGTTTCGAACGAAATGAGTTCAATTCGAGGGGATTCATTGTCTTATACCCATACGAGGAATAAATCCCTACGAAGGTATAAGGTATGTATCCCATGGGTTATTTGCTAAAACTCATACGAAGAATAAATTCTTACGAGAGTAAAGCATTCACCCGAACTAATTTGGATTGGAGCTCGTGTCTAGAGCTCATGTTATGAAAATGCACGTGATGTGTGTGAGGAGGAACGTACCTACCTTTGACTCAAAAGGAAAATGAAAGAAGGAATTTTTTTTTGATAAAACCTTGACGAATCTGAAAACAGAAATTAAATTGTTAGTATGACAGATAAAATTGAAGCAATTTAAAAAACTTCAATAAATGAATCAGAAGTTAACTAAATATTCAAACTCATAATTTCGACCACAACGACAATGTGTAAGCGACCTACAGCTTGACTCTCTAAAACAAATCCCCAGTGGAGTCGCCATGCTGTCATAACCATTTTTATAAATCAATTATTTATTATTTTAAAAAACGATTATGACTTTAATTTGGCGAATTTGGGTGATTTGGATTAATATGGAATTAAAACGGATGAAGTCACCATTGACCTTTGGGTTAGGTAGGTCGAATACCTAAAAACGTCTTTTTAAAATAATTTTAAGTAAAAATCATTTTTAAGAAAAAAATGGTATGTGTTTACCAGAAATCGTATTAAAACGGGTTCGGGAGTCGGTTACGTGTGGGGAAGGATTAACACTCCCACAACGCCCAAAAACTGGCACTGTGTCTCTTATGCGTTGTCGTAATGGCAGAAATTACAAATCAAATATAAAGTTAAATTACGATCCATTTATTGAAATATAATTAATTTACTCCAAAATTAATTGAAAAAATCCTTTAACTTGATAAAAATTCTTGAAATTAACAATCATCCATTGGGAAAGTTATTTCAACTATTTTCATTGTTAAAGAATATTTCATCCTTATTGATTAAAAAAATATGAATTAAATATAAATGAAGATCGACAATTTGCATTCGCATAAAATGAAATAAATTGTGAATAATAAAAATACATATTGCATCATTAAAATAAATTAATTAGTAAAAAAATGGATTTATTTTAAGTTCGTATTTGTTCGAATGTCGTATTGAATTGTACCACTTCGATCAAATAGTACTTTCCACGCCCGTTCTACAAATTCATGTTCTTGAAAAATATTTGAATGAAATTAACAACTAAGGAAATAAAATAGAAACAAATATGATTGCAAATGACAAATAAAATATTTACAATATTAAATAAGAACATTTACTATACATGCATAAAGGATTGAAAAGAAAACAATTAAATATTACAAACCAAACTAAAATACCAAAATAAATCATTTAAGGTACTAAAATGTAATTAACGGAAATTAAAAGGGCTAAAATGAAAAAAAAATATTAGGGACTAAACTGCAAAATACAGGAAGTTAAAGGACCAAAATAGATATAACCGAAACTTTAGAAACCAAAATGGAAAAAATAGAATTTTGGGAACTAAAACAGTAAAAACAGAATCTTCAAGGGCTAAACAGCATAAACAGGAATTTAAAATACTAAAATCAATAACAGAAATTTAAAGGACCAAAATGCCAAAAACAGAAACTAAAGGACTAAACAGCAATTACAAAACAAACAGAACCCAAATATAAAACATTAAAAATACAAATACTAGAAACCAAAATAACTCAAAAATATTATTAAGGACTAAAATAAAATGAAAGTAAAACAAGCAAGCCATATTCAGCATTTAACCCAATATATAAAAGCAGTGATCAAAATGCATTCAGAATCAAAATACTTGGATTATAAACATAAATAAAACATGTATTTCTTTTACATAGTAAATAGTGACTAAAATGAACCAACAATAAAATATACTGCACATGTATAAATAAATTAAAGTTTGATGGCTCAAACACAAATATAACCACAAAAATATTTAAAAGCAAATAATGACGAAAATGTAACAAAAATAAAATAAAAGCTCTAAATGAAATGATGAAATTTCATTAAAGTGGTAAGATTACAACCATTACACAAGATACAGGGACCTTAACTGTGATTTACCCATAAATGTTAAGAACACGCTGCAAGATTACAGAGGTAAGAGGATCAAATATGCTATTAGCCCTTAATCCCATTACTCGGTCTCCCTCTCTTGCTTCAAAACGACGTCGCTCGACGTCTGAAATATAACCCTTTTAAGGGTTATTTTGAAACCCTAAAATCATTTGCTAGCTTCCCATTTTCTTCCGCCGTTTGGCTATCCCTTTCCCTTCTCATATTTTCTTCTCCCTCCGCCTAAAACAGAGGCCCTAACTCCCCGGAAATATTCTTGTTCCAGCATATATTTTATTTTATTATTAAATAATATGGTTGACTAATATATAGAACTTCGATTAGTTAGTGGTATATGCATTTTTGTTGTTCAGTTGGCATCTTCTTATGAGGATGAGAGCTCCAAAGGAAGGTTACTGTGATCCTATTGCACCTCTAGAGCTACCACATTCTTACATGCATTTCGTCGTGTCTCTTCAACAGATGATCTGAGCATGGTTAGACATTCTACCATTACCTCTCTGTCCCTTTAGAGTCATTTCTTTACATCATTCTGTTTTTCCGCAATCAATAAACTGTATATTTTTGTTTGTTACCTACAAGTGGAATCTTCGGTATCCTTTTTCTGACTTCAAATGATTTTTAAAGTAATTTCTCCAAATATTTTTCGGTAGTTCACAATCCTTCTTGGAGTCTTCGGTCTAACTTGCAGTTTAAGCTCCCTACCTGATTCTTAATATTTGTAAAGCTTAAGGTTATATCATTTAACTTACAATTGAAGGTTCAAATACCTTCTTCTGATTGAAAAAGATCTTTATTTTATTTTATTTTTGTCTCTTCATACAATTGAATATTTTCAGTAGCACATAATCCTTCCAGGAACAGCTGGTCTAACCTAATTCTTAATAAGTTAATAATTATAGATTTAAAGCATCTTTATAACTTATAATTTGTATTGGTTTGAATTCTTCTATAAAAAAAATAGTTTTTATCCTCAGGAAAGGTTACCATACATTTCGTGGGGGATTCTGGAATTACTCCAGCATGGGTAAGAGAACATTCCCTGGACAAGTATTCAAAATATTTTGTTGCTAACATGAAATTATTTTAATCTTCATACGAAGTATCTTATAAATGTGTTCCATCAAAAAGAGAAAAAAAAAAGTATCTTATAACTGTGTATGCCTTTAAACTGCATTTCTTTTTGTAATGATATTTTAAAGTGCACTTGATTATACTTTCTGATATCATAAGCCCCTTTCTAGTTTCCTTTTACTTTCTGTTGCCTAATGGAAATTGAACAATCTTGTAAAGAATATATGGTACTGTAGATGCGTCTAGCTCCATTTTACTTCTCGTTGAACTATTGTTTTGAAATTAGAAGAAATGTGTTTGTTGAGTCCTTTTGCTTCTTTTTCGAAGTTTGTCTATATCTCCCTCCTTTATTTCATTTTGGTAACTCTCAGTCTAAACAAGGGAAGTTCGTTCCTCCTACCGTAGGTGAAAGAGGGGATTCAATCGCTGGTACTCGTGTAACACCAAATGACTTTAACTGCTCAGCTATTTGCCACTTTCATTGCTATATCTATCTTTCAATCCAATTATAAATAATAGATTTGGTTAATCTCACTCTTATTTATCTGGGTTATCAGTTTCATTTCTAACATGAAAAGTTGATGACTGGCTAATCCATTAATATTGTTGTAATGATGTCTGCAGGAATGGACGCTCAAGTATCTCATGCTTTTCACTCTGAGCGAAAGTTGAATCCAGAAAAGTTTAAAAACTAGTTTGCTAATCAGGTATCGTTCTGTCATAGTGTCATTTGCTTCGTTAGAACCATGTATTGACACTTGCAGTTAAACCATCAAGGTTCTCCTTTACAAAGGATGTTACACGATTGACTGCTAGCTTATATGTTCATGATAGACATTCTCTTTCAGCTTTGCGGACATTCTTTTTCAAGTGTTAATCATGTTACTATCTATAAACTAGAAACCTGTTAATGATTCACTATATAAATAAAGGAATTAGGAACCAACACGCGGTAGATGGATTTGCCGATCTTATAAAGTGCATGTGCCAAATTTTGTTGGATAACAGCAAGTGTATATTTAGATGCTAGAAGATGCTGTTGAATTAATAATTAATTTACCTTTTTAGTTGTACTATTTTGCTGAGAATGTAATGCGTGTTTCGGTGTGGCATTGATCTGCTGTCCAAACAGGGATGATAAATTTATGGTAGGGCCCTACTCATGCAATCTATATGTAAACTAAGTTCCTCCTTTATTTAGAACTGCAGCTAAATTCTAAGGAATGGGTGTAATGCTTTGTTCATCACAATCATGTCAGCATTTTAGAAAGAAATTTGAAGGGGATTATTGTGAAATTTTGAAAGAAAAAAAAATAGTCTGGTACACTGCCAAAATGGAGCTCTTGAGTTATCATTTCCAGAGTTTGTTCACCTGGATTTCAACTTCTAGAATGTCTATCATAACCCAGCAACAGAACATCAGTTTTTTTTTCTTTGTTTCTTTTGCATTTATCCTTAACAAATTCAATCTTCTAAGTAAGACTAGCATTTTGTACTCCTCCAAAATGTTTTCAATTTCCTTTTTTTGGTGGAATATATACATGTGTGCGTGCATGTATGTGTGTGTTTACAGAAAGAAATGTATCTCTATCTTTGCTCGTCTTTGACACTGAAATTAACCCTCAGGAAGATATGCCAATTACTGAATTTTCATGTTTTATTTTCTTTCCAACAGAGCACCTATGCAAAGCTCGGTTGTACACAAGGCTGATTTACTGCTTCTGTTTTCCATCCTTCGGAAACGTAAGCTTCATTGGTTTTTCAATCTTTATGCTTTTACTTTTAATCGTTCTCCAAAGTAAGCTTGGTTACTTTTATCTTTTATGTGTAATGGTAAAAAATTTCCTTTTCAAATCAAAGATTAGGCCCTGCTTTCAAGTTTCATGTATTTTCTTTGAATTGAAAATTGACATTATTTTTCTAATTAATTCCTTGTTAATGGAATATGAACTATACATTCAAAAGGAAAAAAATGAGGAAGCTGACGGTGTTGGCTTTTATAATATGAAAAGTAAAAGTCGTGAAGAAACACGGACCAAGGGAAGACCTCAAAATAGCACCCAGGTGACTTTCATTTGGTCCAATACATTCTGCTGGCTTTAGACATACTTATTTGTTCATGTGTGAAAGAAAAGATCTGTTCATACCAAAAACTTCCATTGAGACACAATGTAATAAAAAAGGATAGGGTATAGCTATAGGGTCCAAATGATGCTTCAGATTTTCAGCTTAATATCCTAATATTGCTTCGTTGTAGGAAGCCTCTAACATTTTCTCCTCATGTCCATGGTTCCCCTCCCCAAACTTGAACAGCATAAGCTCGATCGTCTGTCTCAACTTGCCTAGTTTTTCCGGTGGTCTAAATCCTTAGGGAATGTCGAGTCGGAGAAGTCGGTGTACGTTAGTTCCTATATACATACATAATTGATTTGTTATGTACTTTTCCTTTTTTGTTAAGAAATATGGACCAACTTTACTCGTGATGAATTAATGATTCTCACTGACTTTACAGAAAGACTTCACCCTACCTTATGTAGATGATGGCCTTCTCGAAGTTGGTTTTAGAAATGCTTGGCATGGACTCGTCTGTCTTGCTCCAAAGGGTCATGGAACTCGGCTGGCACAGATAATTTAAACGAAACCATAATCCAACTCTGACCCCGATTCGGTTCATGGACATATCTAGTTTCATGGAAAATAGGCACACCGGATCCGCTTTGAGTTCCACAAAGGTACTGCAGACCATACATATATGAGGATTGACGGGGAACCTTAGAAGCAACCATTGCCGATTGATACTGATACCGTGGTGGTCGAAATATCTCACCACGGACAAGTCAAGATGCTTGCAATCGGAAATTGTCAATCCAAAAGCATCAACGATGATACCTCATCAAGTAGCCCTCAAAGCCAACACAATGATGAAGATGATTATACCGATGAGGAACCCGAACACGACGCGGTTGAGTTTCAGAAATCCGGTGCTGCAGACACGTTCAAATTCCCTGATGATATTGTTATCTCTTGTCTTAGTTAAACTTTTAGTTCTTCATTGCTTTAAGTCATTCACTGATATTCTGTGATGAGTGGTCATTTCTTTTTTCTGTGAAAGGGGTTAAGGCCTCTCTGCCTATCATTGGAATCTGAAGATGCAACCATTTAACTTGATTTTATTCTGCATATGGTAGGGAGCAATCATACTTAAAGAGGTATGAGTAAAATTGTAGCAAAATTATAACTAGAAAACAAGATAAAGCAATGCTCAAGTCAACATAATGAATCAAATATTAATTGGATGCGTTAAATAACAAAGTATGTAAGAAACTCAAAATTCCATGTAGATAATGACGTAATCTTATCCTAATTCGAAAGCATTTCTTTCTTCTTTTTCTTCGTTTTTAATGAAGGTTCTCATATATTTTAGTAAAAGCTTAGGCTGTCTGAGTTTATATATATATATAGATAGATGTTAATAAAGTTATATCATATATAGTATTTGTATCCATATTTTGAAGGATGTTTTCTATTTTTTTTATATAGTCATTGATTTATTAGTTTATTAATTCAATAAGTATTACATGTAATGGTGGAACTTAATATTATTTGCTGAAGGAATTACTTAAAAACATTTAAGATTCTAAAAAGTAGTTTTGGTGGTAAAAAGAATATTATTATCTCTAAATAACTCGGTTAAGTATTTAAAAAAAATGAATTTTTGAGGCAACAACAAGTTATATAATTCTTGCAGGTTCGTAATTGAACTTATTATAATGTTAAAATTTGAAACTATTATTTTATGAAATTATTTATAGAATTATAGAATATCATAATAAATTCACAAATAATCTTTAATATTATAGAGAATAATATAGCAAATACAAAATTACGCAATTATTCTTTTGAAAGAAAAAGTGATAGAGTGGTTTTAAAAAAGCCTTCATGACTCTTTTATGTAGATTATTAGATGAATTCTCAATTAAAAAGCCTTTAAGTTTTCAGCAAGATTGGAAGTGAATGCATCCATTCGATTCTTGCTAAGAACCAAGGAAACTTCCATGCCACCCGGTTCGTCCCTAGACTCGATGAACGACAAAGATCCACCGTCGTCAATGTGAATAAACTCGATCTTCATCGGCCTTCCCCACCCGAAATCCATATCATATACCCGGAATTTCGGTGACCCCGAAACCGCCACATGATGCCCCGATCGGAACATTTCCTCTAGCTTCGAAGTTCCTTTCTGTGCTTCTTGTAGGGCTCCACTTTCCATCTCTTTAACCTTCTTGGCAATTGCTTCCGCCGCCGTCACTATTCCATTTGACACCATCAGGTCACCCTTCTTGGCTTTTACAATACCCGGTGCTAGACAGTTTCCGAAATATGTTACCGGCAGAGGAAATCCGGTTCGGCTCCGGCAGTCGACGGCAAAAAGGAAGTAGTGTAATGTATCATCATCGTCATGTCCATTTGATGATATTGGGTTATAATTCTCTTCGGACTTGATCATACATATCCACATGATAGAGCAGGTGGCTATGAATGTCGATATCAGCTGCTGTTCGGATTCATTGCTGTTCTTGCACTGAGTCGTGAGTTGCTGCTTGAGTTTGACGATTTGAGCTGCTGCTAGTACAAATGTTGCTCGAACTTTGTCTGCCGGCAATATTTCCTTGCTCGGGCCGAGGTTTTCCCTCCAAGATGATATCCAATGCCAGTAGAATTTCAAGGCCTCGTCGTTGCACCCATTAGGGTCATCAAACGCCTCCCTGTTATGGATAGGTCGCCGAGCCGAATCATTGAGAAACGCCGACGCCGGTTCTCCGTTCGACTTGCAAACGGAAGACCAACATCTCACGAAGTGCATGAACGAGCTTCCATCGGCTGCCACATGGTTATGCGCCAGCCCGATGCAAACGCCAACGTTCGGAAACACCGTGACCTTGACTGCCATGATGGGAAGCACCCGTACGCCATCCGACGACATAGTCGACGGTGGCAATTCGGGAACATAGGGGTGCAGCGACTTGAAATCTCGTGGGTAGTTGGCTATGAGAAGGTTGAAATCGGCGGTCGATTCGGAAACGGTGAGAGGAACGGAGTCGCCACCGCCGTCAGTGTAAAATATATAAGGCTTGAGTGGAGGTGGAGGGCACATGAGCTTTGCCGCAAGTGGGAAAAACTGTTGAAGGGTTAGGGAAAGAGAGTGTTTGAGAATAGGGAGCGCTGCTTGAATGAAATGAGAGGTAGAGTGAGGGAATTCATAGAAGAAAAGGCTTTGCATGGGAGCAGAAGCAAACCATGGGAGGTCCAAATAATTGAGAGGAAGACTTGTTGTCGGCACTGACCCTGCCGGTGCTGAAACATGGATGGTATCCACAATGTTCACCATGAACGACGGAGCAGCCATTGATCAACGAGTTTAAGATATATACAGTGAAATATCTTTAAAGAATTTTGTGGAAATTGAAAACATATGAAGCTATGAAGAGGATAGAAGTCAATTTATAGGGCAATTAGGCCAGACCAAGCTTCTCCTTTAGTTTTTTATATGGATTGCTTGTTGAGTATTAAAAATTACAAAACGATTCATTATACAATTTATATGTTTTAAATTCATCATTTTTGGTTAAAAATTGACGTTGGTTTGAGTTGAACGTTAACTTGTTGATTGAGATATGATAAAATCGTATTTTAATGATATCTACTAGTACCGTCGTTATTTTCAAACACTAGCTTGATGACATAATATTTTAAGTGTTGGCTCGACGACATACTATAAACGGAGAGTCGATCCACAAAATATAACTCAAATAATTCTGTGATCAAATTTTATCGTATCTCAGTCTAATCTTAAAGAAACTGAATAAAGAGAAAAAATTTAATAATTTTTGTAGTAAGTGCGTCGTAATCAAAACTATTGCTATTCGTATTGATTTTTAGTGAATTAATGCTAAAATTATTAGAATATGAAGCAATAGTTGGTGGTAGATTAGGTGAAGTTAAGAGGCAACAAACCATTGAAAATGCTTTAGAAAGCAGAAACCCAACAGCTTGGGAATAAAATCGTCCACACCTTACTCCTTACCATTCAAGTGTTCGGGTCGTATACGTGGCAGGAGCTTGCCTATCCATTTAAAGAATCAAATGAAAGTGGAACTAAATACTACACAATTTTTTCAATATAATTTTGTAGGTAAAGCGAATTGAATTAATTTTTAACATTTTTAATTCGTATTCATATATAGTTATTTTTTTTGAAATAGGTAGTTTCGTGTGTATTCAAAGAGAGGAAATCATATAAAACCGGACCAACGAAAAAAAATCTTGTTAAAAACTTCCTTAAATTTTAAATAGAGGAAAAAGAGTGCCCCTTCTATTATCTAAAATATGGAATACAATATCAATAACAGAAATCCAAATAATTCTACCCACCAACAGCACACCTCTCAGACTGAACTATGAACCCGGCCGGCTGCTAATACTAAAAACAACAAAAACAAACCATAAACAACACACTAGTCACCAACAAGCCAATAAAAACCAGGCCATAACTCAGCCACGGTCCACGAGATTAAACAAATTCATTGCGACAGTAACCCGAAAATCGCGCCTAATGGGGAAATCTTACTCGCAGTAAACTAGACCCACCTTACGCCAAAAGTCAACCCTTCCACTCTAGAGGTAAACACTAGCCTTACATATATAATTACTTAAATTCTAGACATTTAAAAAAAATAATATTTCCATTTATTATTGTGGTGATTCAATAAATTATTTATAAGTAGTATTCTTGAATTGGTAGTCCAAATATATTTAATTATATATTTCAATATAAGTGCTGTTTTATTAAAGTTCAAGGCGAAGCTAAGCAAGGTCTTATACTAAAAGAAGTATTATTATAAACGGGAAATTGACTTAGACAACAAATATAATGATGGAATTTATTATTTATGATTGGGATTCTTCTATTTGTTTATCCAATTAAATTGTGTTGAAGCCTTGTTCAAAACAGCCGATAAATGCGTCCATTTCATATCTTTTAAGTGCCAACCCGATCTCGATGCCTCCTTCCTCGTCTCTACTGTCCCCTATATATATAGATGGGGAAGCATCAACATGCACCACTTCCGTCTTCTTTGGTCTTCCCCACCCAAAGTCGGTATCGTAAACACGTAACTTTGGGGAGCCAGCCATCACCAAAAGACGACCGCTTTCCGATATTTCAATCCAATTACTAATCCACTTCTCAGCCCCTCTTAATGCACCCTTTTCAAATTCCTCCACTCTGTTTCCAATGGCTTTCGTAGCAGCAACCAAACCATCCTCCCCCACCAATTCATTCCCCGTTACTTGAACAAAGCATATTGCTAGACAATTGCCGAAGTATGTCGCCGGTATAGCTAATTCGGGACGGTTTCGACAGTCTGCCGGGAAGCAAAAGTAATAAAATTCATCGGCATCTTGTTGGTTCCTTAGGCTGCCGCTGAGCTGCTGGGCTTTGATCAAACAAGTCCACACCTGAGCACATGCTACCACGAATGTCGATGCTCGTGGCAGCTCTGCTTCACATTTCTCGATGCACCGATCCAAGACACGACGCTTTAGTTTCTGGATGCCGGCCCGGTCGATGACAAATGTTGCACGAACCTTGTCTGCAAAAACGTCACGTTGGACTTGTTCCTTGTCGTCCTCTTGGTTAGAAGCACAACTCAACCAACCGTTTAAGAGAACTGACTCGAGCCCGCAAGGATCTTTTTCCTGTATCACACTCCGACCCAAAAGCGGCATGACTGTTGCCGAGTTTCCAGCTGCTGACCTGAAAAAGGAAGCCCAAGATTTCATGAAATGATTGAACGACCTTCCATCGGCTAGCACATGGCAAAACGTGGCCCCTATACTTATCCCTACGTTAGGGAACACGGTGACTTGCAAGGCCAGAAGTGGCGAAACACGAGTGTTGCTCACCGCGCTTGCATGAGGCAGCTCTGGGACAAAGGGGTGCAGATCTTTGACATCTCGAACATGGTAGCCACCGTACCCTGTGGTTCGATCGAAATCTGCCAAAGACTCGGCAACGATGAAAGAGATGGAATCGCCATCTGTGTAAAGAATATGTGGCTTTTGTGGCGAGGAAGGACATATGAGCTTGGCAGCAAAAGGGTAAAAGATTTGGAGAGTAGCAGAGAGAGATGCTTTGAGGGAAGGGAGAATGGAGTGGGTGAAATGGAGAGTGGAATAAGGTAAGTGATAAAAGAAGAGGCGTTGCATGGGACGGCAAAGAAGCCATGGGAGATCAAAGAAAGAAAGGGGAACGGAGGTAACGGGCACAGATCCCGGTGGAGGAGAAACCTGGCTATGCTCGACCACTTTGATTGTGCAGCCTCCGTTTGCCATCTTTAATTTTCTCCCTCAACACAATGTTATCTTTTTTCGAGTTGTGGCTTTGATGCTTTTAATAAATATATTAAATCAAATGTGAGATCGGGTCAGATACGACACCTTTTAATAATTCAAGTCGGTGAATAAAAATCTTCTGCCCCTTTACCATGTCCCTAATTGTACCCCACCTGTTATTTTTTGACACGTGTATTATTTCTTTTCCTTGACTAATTTGTTAATTTTAACGACAAATGTAACAACCCGATTTTCAAAAAAAAATATTCAATTAAAATTTGAGGGTTTAATTGTGAAAATTTGGGACTGAATTGAAAGATTTTAAAACTTGGAGCTTGTTTTAAAGTTAAAGAAAATTCAGGGACCAAACCCTGAATTTAACCATGGAGTGTCGGCAAACAATTGATATATGCGTGATTTCTGTTTTGAAAAACAGAAATCAATTTCACAAATCCTTCCTCACGCACACAACTTCCAAACTCGATTCCGACGCCGTCCGAATTCCGATCGTTGTTTTGAAACCACCGTTGTGTTCATCATCGAGCGAGGAACAAACCCTTCAAATTAATTGAAGCGAAACGCGGCCAAACGTCGGGAATTTCCAGTCAAAGTAGCGACGGATTTGTTAGCTCTATCGCCGAGGAAATCTTAAATTCACCGCTGATCGTGGCTCCGTTTACGACACCTCCCGCACCATCGTGTTCTTTGTGCCGTTCCGAGTTCACCGGTGTCAACCTTGTCCGCCGTAGACGGCGGCGCGTGAGGAGGTGGTGCAGTCAAAGATTCGGCCGATTTGAAATCGAGCTCTCCGCCGTTCAAAAATTTGAATCGATCGTTGTAAGTATCTTGAAATCGCTCAAAATAATTTTTAGAAATTTTTCCGGGATTTTTAGGGCCCCGGAGGACGCCTCACGCGCCACACACGCCGCCGCAGGGCGAGTGGCTGCTGGAAACCGGTTTGACCGGTTTTCAACCGGTTCTGACCGGTTTGACCGGTTTCAACCGGTTCGAACCGGTTTGACCGGTCTGAATCGGTTTGACCGGTCTGAATCGGTTTGACCGGTTTGACCCGACCCGACCCGACCGTTGACCCGACCCGACCCGACCGTTGACCGTTGACCGTTGACCGTTGACTTTCTTTGACCAAAACTTAAAATGGCTTTGACCGAGCATTAAACGACCGTTAATCTTTTCCGAGTATACCTATCCTGATAGTTTTCGACGTGCCGAATCCGTTTCCGTGGTCTGTTTTGTCAAATTCGAATCCGAAGGTCTCCAAATCTACGGTCAAAGTGGTTGACTTTGACTTTGACCAAGAATCTGAATTTTCAAAAAGTCACTTATGTTTTTCGACGTCCTGATTCCGATTCCGCAGTCCGTTGGCCAAATTCAGACTCGAAATACCCCAAAATGATAGTCAAACCCGAAAAATGCTTATATACTTAAGAATTCTAGCTTTGAACAATTAAGTAAGATTTGGGGCTGATTAATTATTATTGTTTGAAGGTACAAGAGACTCTCCGGATCGTTCGATAGCTCGACCCAACTCTTCTAGATCAGTTAAACCACGTATACCAGTATTCACTCGTAAGACTCGTAAATTTTATGATTTGAGAGATTTATTTATGTTACCCATTAGTAATATATTGATATTATAAATTAGGTTCGAAAACTGTAGCAGAGCGTGGTGAAACCAGCAATCAGTAGATCCACGATTTGAACATATTATCGAGGTGTGTTCCCTATTTATTACTGAACTGTTTTATTTGTTTTAATATGTGGTACACTGAATTCTTTGGTTACCGTATTGTTGATGCACCGATTTAATGTGATGATTTATGGATTATGATTGTTATCTGATATTTGTTTTGAAATGGTATATGATTACCATGTTTATGGATTTATGGAATTTATAACACGGTGCAATTGAATTTTTGGAATACGAATTTATAAAGTACAGCTCTGATCAAGCTGGAAAATTTTACAGACCTAATGTGACTCTTGGGTAGGCCCTGCGGCCCTAAGATGTGTTCTTAGGTAGGCCTCACGGCCCCGAAATCTATCTTGGGTAGGCTCTCAGGCCCTAAGATGTTCCCTTAGGGTAACGCTTTTTAAAGAGATTTACTGCAGTATAATTTTATGAGACTTATTGGACTATGATTTGTTTAGTGTACCTATAGTGATTTTATGGTAATATTGGGACCCACTGAGCCTAGCTCACTTTTCGAAAATATTTTCCCCCTTTCAGATACTGTTGGTTAGTTACCCTGGATTGAGCACTTGGAGGATCAACATATCTCTTGAAGTATATTTGATTGTAATGTTTTTACCTTGCAAGTTGTCTTTATTTTGTTAACATGGACCTTATTTTAAAGTATGGTATTTTAATATGATGACACTTTTGCTATTACTATTCGGTTTATCGTGATTTGATTTTTAAGATATGTTTTAAATTAATTTATTACTTATTGGTATTATATTTACAAGTTAGGTTTTGATAGTATGATTTATTATAACTTCATGTCATTTATAATGTGATTTTACATTGATTGAATAACGGTTTCGGAAAAAAAATGTCTTAAAGAATCATAATGTGAGCCACTAGACTTAGTCGAAACGCATAGGCCGGGTCTAGGGGTTACATTTATTGGTATCAGAGCTTTTGGTTTTTAACCCTCGGACTGTGTAGAGTCCACATGGAAGATACGATTTTGAAATATTTTACAAAACAGGATACAAAGGTCATATCACAAAGTTATTAAAATTTTTAACTGTGTTCGAGACTCCAAGTGCTTATCTAACCCTAAGTTTTATCTTCTGTAGTAAACTTGAGATCCATCAAAATGAGTGCTAGACGTGGTCGTCGAACTAGCCGTGGACGAGGTCGAGTGGCTAGATTTGCAGATCCGATCGATGAGATACGAGTAGATCCCCCACCTCCGATAGGTGATCCTGCTCCTACGACCCCACGAATCTGCCTCCTACCGATGGTATTGGCATGACTACACCGATCATAGGAGCGACAGATATGAGTCAGAATCTACCGGAGTTGCTTTGGATGAGACTTTTGGTAGACAATTTCTGCAGTTGATACAGGGAGCAGTCAGAGCTGCTGGTGTTGTATCTGAGGTTCCTATTTCGCAGACTCTAATTGCTAATGGGGTCAGGACTTTTGGAGGACAGCTTGGAGGAATTCCTACTGAAGCAGAAGATTGGCTACAGGATACAGAAAGACGCATGGATCAGTTGGGTTTGGACTCAGCAAAGAGATATTTGGGGCAGTAGCGATGTTAGATGGAAATGCCCACACATGGTGGGAGTCAGTGACCAGTAGTGTTTCTACTGATCGTTTGACATGGGATTTCTTCAAGGAGCGCTTTCGGAGCCGATTCTTGGGTGAGCGCTACTTAGTCCAGAGACGACAGCAGTTTCAGGACTTGGTTCAGGGTGACATGACTGTTTCAGAGTATGAGATAGAGTTCTTGAAATTGTTAAAGTATGGAATCAGTCTGGTGCCTACCGAAAGAGATCAATGTCGTAAATTTGCCTTTGGACTCAGATACGAGCTACGTAGGCAGGTGGTAGCCCTTCAAGATGAGATTTTTGATGTGCTGGTAAGCAGAGCCAAGGATGCTGAGGAGATGGAGGCGTTAGCTTCTGGTAGAGAGCGTGTTGATCAGGAGCGATCTAGGAAATCTTTTGGCCCTACTGAATCATCCGCACATTCCGGTAAGAGGACTCGTACTTCAGCCCTCAGAGGAGCAATACCGCTTCAGGTCTACTGTATCATCACCTTCAGCTGTTAGTAGAGGTGGTTCTTCGGTTCCGGTTCTAGTGCCTCAGTGTGACTTTTGTGGGAAGCGGCACACGGGAGAGTGTTATAGGAAGACCGGAGCATGTTTTCATTGTGGATCTAGTGGACATTTTCGGAGGGATGTCCTCAGCTAGCTTCGTCTGAGCGGATCGCTACCCAGACTCCTGTGCGTTCTCAGACTACAGTACATACTCCAATTAGAGATCGTAGCCAAGTAAAGGCTCGTGGTTCAGTGTCCAGGACAGACAGTAGAGCTCGACCTCAGCAAAATAGAGGGCCAACAGTTTCTGAGGCTAGATAACCAGCCTTGGTTTATGCCACTAGACGTCGGGATGACAGAGATGAGCCTGAGGTTATTGCAGGTACATTTACTATTTATTCTATCCCATACTTTGCATTACTGGACAATGGCTCCACTCACTCCTATGTATCGAGCTCAGTATCTCGAAAACCTTCAGATTCCGATAGAGAACACTGAAAATACGTTACAGTTACAAGTCCAGTAGACAAGCGGTATTAGTGAATAAGGTATTTCGGCGTTGTCCTTTGGAGGTGCGGAGAAATTTTTCTCGCTGATCTTATGGAGCTTCCTCTAGAGGAGTTTGATCTAATTCTTGGGATGGATTGGTTGAATAAACACAAGGTAAATCTGGATTGCGAGTACAAGCGAGCTACCCTAAAGACTCAGATGGTCGGACTGTGTGTTAATTGGTGAACGGCGTGGCTATCTCTCAATAGTTTTCAGCGATGGAAATTGATCGTATGATCCGAAAGGGATATGAGACGTTCATTGCCTGTATTTGACACTAAAGGTGCATTGTCCACAATCGAGGAGATTCGTACAGTTAGCGAGTTTCTGATGTTTTTCCTGAGGAGTTGTCTGGGTTACCTCCTGATAGAGAGGTAGTTCGAGATTGAGACTTATCCGGGATCTTCACCTATTTCTATGGCACCTTATCGCATGGCTCCAAAGGAACTTAAGGAGTTGAAGGTCCAATTGCAAGAATTATTCGATCGAGGATTTATCCGACATAGTACTTCACCATGGGGAGCTCCAGTTCTATTCGTGAAAAAGAAGGATGGGTCGCTAAGATTATGTATTGACTATCGGAAATTGAACAAGATGACGGTCAAGAATAAATACCCATACCCAGGATTGATGACTTATTTGATCAATTGCGAGGAGATAC